TGTAGATAAAATTACAGGAAAATATTTTCTGACCAATAAAAAAAATTATATATATATATATTTATATCATTTTGTCATAAAAAAACACAAACAAAAACATATTTGTATATAAATATTCATTGAGAATATTTTACAAAAATGAAATATTTTATAAAAATATTTTATAACTAAACAAAAAATGATTTTAGTAGCAAAAAAATACACTTTTTTAATAATAATATAATGATAATAATAAAGGAATTTACTATTTCTACCCACCAGAATTAGATCTTGGCACTGTGGAAAGGACTTTGAAGAATTTAGAGAGAAACAGTTTATAGAAATTGTAACTAAGCAGTTAAATGAATAAAATATTTTGAAGGGTGGTGGGGGCTGGATTGGATTTATGGCTACAGGCCTGTGTAGAACTGTCATGGGGGTGCTAAAAAACCAGTGCTGAGATGATAATATTAAGATTTGGAAAGTTAAACTGCCATTTATCACACCAGCTTTGTCTCCTCTCCTCACCTTTTTTACCCTGTGTGGGTTCCTCTCTCTTCTGCACTTGCGGATGTCCATCTCTGTGGTGTTGACACAGCCTGGCTGTGGGAGGCGGCAGGAGAAACAGTGTGTTTCTGGATCAGATAACAGTTTTCTCCAGCATATATTCTGTGCTTGTCCTCCTCAAACTATAAGTTGCTGTTTCTCTGTTCAAAAAATTCATACTCACAAAAGGTTCATATGCAAAGTGCTCAAATCTGATTCGGCTACCAATAACACAATGTGTGTAGAGCTAAATCTGCTGTTTTCGGGTTTTAAATGCTAAAATAGTCTAACTATATGGCATTCTTTCTTCTTTTTTTTTTCTTTTTTACACTGCTGCAGCTTCTGACCCACCTTTCCTTTCCTTTTCTTTATTCATGACTTTGGTCCTAACTCACCACCGGCCGATGGACGTCCCAGAATGCCCTCTCCTGGCTGTCGAGGATCTTCCTCTCTGCCTTGTCCTTCTTCCTGTCGATCCTGTGAACAGATGGAAACAGGCCACTCATACAGAGAGCACACACCTCGGAAATATCAGGTCAAACGCAATAAATCAGGCCCCAGAATTAAGTCAAACGCTCTCACAAACCACAGCACACATGCTTATACCACTGCTGGGCCAGACTAGAGAGCAAAAAGCTGAAGAGTGTGGGTCTTAACCTGTCTGCTCGCCTCACCAAGCGATGCCAGGTTTTGCCTCTGGTGGGGCCGAGCTCTTACATAACTGACATTTACTGATCGGCCCTTGCTAAGGTATTGTCAACTCCCAAGGTGAAAGAAGACTTACTGCTTTCCATACCACCCCAACTTACAGTGCAAAACAGCCGACAATCAAAGGCATGAAGATTTTTACAAAAAAAGCAAAGACGGTTCTTTCCTCACTGAATGACATGAGATATTAGTGCTGTGCTTACACATGCAAGCCACCAGATGGAAGTCTTACAAAGAGACAGAAGTGGAGGGAGAATAATGTGTTTAATTCCATAGGGGACGACGCGCTGTATTTAATGCATGTAACCCTCCAGTCAAAGCAGAGCATGAAAACAAAGCATTGTTAATGAGATCCATTGGCCCAATGCCCAACTGACACTGCACACTGAAGCATTTTCTCTTCCTTGGGGAAATAACACTTAAATCATGCATGTAGCCAAAGGTCAGTATGAATGTATAAACGTGATTTCATCAACATCCCTCTATCCCCAGAGCTCTCCTGCTGTAACTGTGTCACATTAGAACGACACTGACGTCAATAGGGGACATGTTCTGACTCACACGTCCATCCGTGTACTCACTTGACTTGAGCCTCTGCTTGCATGAAGATAAATTCCCACTTCCTGGCGAAAGCCCTCTGCAGACGGGCGAGGTTCTCCTGGAGGAACCAATCAGGCGTGGCGTTAGGAGAGAAGGTTATTTGAACTTCAGGGCCTTTAGATCATTACATTATCCAATTACTGTAATGGCATGGCATAACTTTGCCATGCCATTACTAAGACGAGACGACCTCTCACCAGCATGCCCCTGAACAAGTCACTGAACTGCTGCTACCACATAGTATTTGGATTTTCAATATATTAACTGTAACTAAACACTGTATTCTTAAAGGAATAGTTGGAAATTTTAGCTTTCTTGCCAACAGTTATATGAGAACATTGACACCACTTTCATGTCTGTATGCTAAATATAAAAAGCTACCACAGTCGGCTAGCTTATCTTAGCACAAAGACTGGAAAAAGGAGGAAATCTCCGAACAAAGGTAAAAAATCCACCTGCCAGCACCTCTAAAGCACACTAATTAACATGTTGTATCTCATTTGTTGAGTTCATACAAAACAAAGTGTAAAAATTATTGGCCAGGACCAATAACTTGTGTGTATTAAACAAACAAAATATAACATGTTAATAGTGGGCTTTAGAGGAGGTGCTAGGCATATTTCATTACCTTTGGACAAAGCCAGACTAACAGTTACATGCAGGTGCCCACAGACACAGAGCCAGCTCACCAACTCTCCTGCGACTATAGCTCAAATCACAACAACAGCATGTCTTGGCAAACAAAAATGAAAGCTGAATGTCAGTGGGTAAGGCATTTAATGTTATTTGACACATATCCTGGCTGGAATAACATTTTGTTTGTTTTCCATTTACAGAGCCGGGGCTGTGTACAACCACCAGATTTGTTTTTAGAGCGCACACAGAGTGACCTTGAGGAGATATTTGCTGAATTTGAAAAAAGTGTATTGCATTAGAATCGCACTGACTCTCACTTTCATTTTTACTATTACTGTATAGATGTATGATCAGCACAGGGTTGCATTTTTAGATATCATCTCTGATGTTAGATGAGCAAGGAATTATGACCAACAAAGGTCACGAACACAAACCCATGAATACATTGCGTGCAACTTAGTATCACATGATAAATCTTGCTTTGATAAAAAGAATAAACTGTTTTAAGGACATAAGCCCCATAATGTACACATATCAAAGTTGCATACTAAATAGTGTGTCCTTAATAACACAGCCCAAACATCTGTCAAAGATATAGTACATGACCTCATTACAAAGAGAGAAAAAATTATGAGTTCCAACTAGCAGGGACGTTAACAGTGAGAGCAATGAGGCCTGGAGGCATAAAGTGACCTGAATAGGAGATAAAGGAAGTGTACTGGACAATAGTTGCAGAGTAATTTAGAATATTAAAGTGCAGTGCATTGCTATTGTATAACAGCAACAGATCAGCAATGCAGTAATGCCCTTCTTGAGACTGTATTGATCTGCTGATGCCAAGTAGGCCTATAGATAAGTTGTATACATATTGTGTCCAGTAAATGACTGCATTGTATTCTGCCAAATGGTGCTCCTGAAAAAGAACAAATGACCTTTGATAGATTTGAACACAAGTCTGTAATTTGATAAAGGCTTTTTGCTGGGAAGAATGGATTTTGGCATTTTAAGGCCCCGGAGGACACTGTTTCAGCTCTTTTGTCTTTTAGTAAAGTGATGGAAAACAGGAAATTCAGAGTGTCATCATATTATGGACAATGCACAGTGGTAGCATTGAACTGAGAGCTTCCTGGAAATCACTAAAACCAAAACGACAGTGTACTTACAGCCTCATAGTCAGCTAGCTCGAGCCTGGCCTTGTTCTGCATGGTGCGCTTGCACAGGTAAATGGCTGGAGGGGGGAAAGGGAGACAGAGTGAGACATGAAGAGGGCAATAAAGTTATTCAGATGGGTTGTCTGGCTGTGTGACTACAAATAAAAAAGGAATATCTCAGATCTTTTTTTGTTTGTTTGACTGAGGTCTCAGCTGTGTGAAGCAACACTAATGAATGGAGCGGGCAGGCGATGTGTTGTCTTCTGAAATAACAAGCCTCGAGTAAATGCCACACAGAGAGCCAAAGATGTGCACATATCAGTGACTGTCCCTTCATTTTGCTAGGCTAATCTTGTCCCACAGGATACTCTGTAGTGGGGGTTTCTCAGGGCAAGATACATTACAGGCAATGACCCGGTGGATCAATACTCAGTGAGTGTCAACAAAAGATCTACACCATGAGTTGTGCCTCAGCTCTGGGGGAAGCGGGAGGGTATTAGCAAGATCTTGCTGGTTTGGAGTACGAGGCAAACATTGAGAGACGGTGTGTGACTCACCATAGTCTGTGTTCTCAGGCTCCCAACAGTTTGAAGGCCAGAAGTATGGAGACTGATGGAAACAGAAGCGGATGGACAGAAACAGATTTTGTTTATTTACTCATATCATCAGCATTACATTATTTTCTAGATAAACAATAACAGTTGGCAATGTGAATGTTGGAATCTCATTTCTCCCGCCACCCACACTCTCTCACCCCTTTACTCAAAAGACGACGACGATGATGATAATTATCCTTGATGTCCACGTGCTGCACATAACTATCTGGGGGAGCAATGGTAGCTATATTCTCTCTATCCATATTTAATTGTCTATGGCAAATGATATTACACATTCAAAGTTCATTCCCAAGTCCATTAATAATGGATCACTCACATCTATCATGCATTCTTAATAAGGGGGCAGAATTAGAAGTTGGTGGTACTCGACCACATATTTCATTTCCACCATTACTCATAACGGTGATAAGCCTGAGAGCAAAAGGCTGCATGCTGATGAATTTGCTTGTTTGAGTGTAATGAACAGAAAGGTTAACATGCTCTCATTCGACATTATAATTGTCATTTCAGCTCATAAAGGATCAAGTTAAGTCTATAAGACTTCATGCACAAATCTGCAAGCAGAATACAGTTGTCATTAAATCTGGGTCTTCTACCAGAATAGTATCTATTTATAGACCAGCAAACAAACATTCCCCTGTTACTAATCCTTACAGCACAGCTATGGAGCCTGGCCAATACATTTCAAATGCACCGTGGACTCTTTTTAGATGTTCTGATGACGTGGGCCTGTTGCATCACTACAACATGAGAGGGAATATTTTTAGCCCCCGCTGAATGAGCAAGTGTGACACACGCGGCCCTCCCTACGCAGGAACAATAATGGCTTTTAATCTTGAGCAATAGAGGTGAAGATAAATGCATTCATAGGTAGATCGAGGGGGGGGGGGAGAGAGAGAGGCTGGTGACAGTGAAAAGTGCAGAGCCAGCGTGCAGCCAGCTCAGTGCTTCCCATAGGGGAAGCTGCCTGGCTTGCTGGATTAAGATGCTAATGGCCCAGTTACAATAATGAGTCATCGAGGAGCCCGTAGCCATCAGAAGGACCTGTCAAAGTTCATGCTGGATCAGATGGAGCGAAGAAAAAACACCCCTCTGACAAACTGCACGGCAGGCCCGCAGGCCCTATTCAGTGGTACACCTCCTGCTCTGACGCAGCGTCCAGCAGGGATATACAGTATCGACCTTGGTGGGATGAGTAATAGGCTTAGCAAGGATTGTTCTCATTAGCAACACGCAATAAACATATCGTCATAACATAAACGTCTTCATCGTATTATTCTATATTCAAAGGCTTCCTAACACAAATCAAGGACTCTCCCAGGGTCTGTACCTGAAAGCGATAAAGGGTTCCATCGTCTTTAAGTGTCAGGACATGGTCAGAGATGGGGAAGATGTAGCCATGGGCAGCGATCAGACTCCCGAGGTGGATGGCTTCAGCTGTTGACATGAGAGAAGGCACACAGACGGGGAGGGAGGCGTGATTTGAAATCGCCTTTGAGCTCTATTGTGCTTACATGTAATGACAGATTGCTCAGCCGGCATACCTGGATCCTCAATGGAGAGGTTTTTCATCAGCCACTGAACAATGTCCGCCCCTAGTATTCAGAGAAGGACATTGGTTAGAGTGGCGTCACAGTTCTGCATCTGCAACAGTTTCAACAAAAGCTGCAATTCACCAACAAGTCTTTGTGATTTGTCTCTGTTGAAAGCTGTGGGTCAAAGCTGTCAAAGCTGAGTAAGCCTCTAAATATAACATAATGTTAAAATGTTTGCAGTCCTTTCTCTCTCTGCTCCTGGACAGCATAATATTTGGCCCGGCCTGTGTGCTTGGCGGAGGCTGCTGAGAGAGATCGTGAGGCCATCGGGCCTGAGGGTGCCACGTGAAGGAGTGACTCCGAAAAACAACCTCTGGGAGAGCGGGAGCGACCCTCTCGTCTAATGCTGGTGACTCATTTTATACACAAACACATGAGGGAGTACAGTGCATGCAGACAGAAAAGAGAAGGAAAAAAATATCTTTTCTGCTGTGTGACTAGGGCAGCGTCACACCACAGGCACTTTCCTCAGTGGCTTAGGACTTATTGGAAAAGACATCATCTGCCTCCAACCGTAGTAGCAGCAATTTAAATGAGACCAAAAGGTCATATTTGCTTTACTGATTCGGACTCCTATGTTTCCTCTAAGTCGCTCGCTGGGTGAGAGAACAAAGCACATACACAATTATCAGTACATCAAATAACGCAAGCCCTTATTAAAGAAGACACGTGCAAAGAACTGCAGCATATGTAAATGTGCAGCCATGGACAGTAAATTGGCGTGTACACACACACACACACACACCTATGCATACAAATACTAACCTGATACCACACTGGGGATCTTGGAGAGGAAACTTTTGACAGTCCGGATGGCTACACCTCCTGCTTTCTCATCTTGTATTCTTGTAACGATGTCTTCAATCTGTGGGGAGGCCAGAGGGAGAGTGTGTTAAAGGTCCAAATAAAAAAATGGAATAAAATAAAGTCACATATTATATTTTCTGCCATTTAAAATGCTTTTAAAAACACAAAATGTATCATAAAAGAAGAGATATAAAAGAAAAAAACATTCCAATATAAGGACATTTGAACTAATTTTTAGTAATTACAGGAGCTATTTAAGCTTTCAGGATTGAGTTAAAGATGAATCATCTGATATTATGGCCACTTGTGGGACAGGAGAGCAAGCTGTAAATCCATCATTAACACGTTATCACATAATAATGATACACATCCCGAAGACACGAAGAAACATTAGCATCCGTTTTGGAGTCACGTTTATGGCCACCGGACAAATATAAGTCATCTCCTTTTAGCTCTGTTTTCTGGCCTCCACTCACTCCTGAGAAAAATATCTGCCTCTTTAGCAGCCAAATGCTCCACAATGTTCACCAGCTATTTGCTAGCTTTGTCCCACTGCTACTTGTGCTGGTCAGGCACTGTACAGTGGGTTTATCAGAATTTTTTGACTAAGAACAGCTGCCTACACAAGGTAGGTTGATGAGGGCAGTGAGAGTGGCATGTTAAACCAAAACAAGCTTAAAGATACTAAAATGCTGAGTGGTGATGTCAGGTGATAATTCTCTGCTGGTTTTGTTACTATAAACCCTTTTACATTACACATAGTCATCTGATCCATTGTTAACATAAAAACATAGATCAGCACATCTTTAAATTCAGATTATGTTAATTCTGTAATTTGCTTTTAGCTCATTTATCTCTTTTGGATCTTTTTTAATACTACCACTGGGTGGCACCACCAGCAATGCTAAAATTCCACAGATAGCAGCTTAAAGGTATTATTTACTGAAACACATAAACATTTTTGTATGGTAATGACATGTTGGGGTGATTTATTTAGCTGTAACAAGGGCTTTGGTCAAAAGCTTTGGCCAATTGAAAAAGGCTGTCACAGCTATTCCCCAGAGGCAGAGATAAACATCACACCTCCGACACAGCCAGAGCCCCAAACACATCACACATCAGCAGCCTAAAATTAGGCCCAGCACAGCACAACTCGCCACTCAGTAAACCCGCTACACAGGGGAGTGCACATACAGTAAACAAGAGAACATCCAGTCACTCAATGGATATGCATGCACAAACACACATAAACATATAGAAATCCAAATGCGAGTCAAAAACACACAAACTTGAACAGACCTTGAACAGGTTGTTTATGTGCACGAGTAGTCAGGTTCTGTATTGATGTGAGGCAGTAAGTCTCATTAGAAATCAATAAACATCAAAAAGATCATGATTTTGCACACTTAGCTGTATTATCAGCAGCCAACCATATGCAGTACCGTAGCTGCTAAGGTTGTTGCGCTGGCTATTAAATTCTTTATGGCTCCCTAAGCATCTGTCTAGTAGGTAAGCACACTCAGAGGCTTATACACATATACACTCACATGCATATGTACACAAGCACACACACTGCTACAGTATGACAAAGCTGATTAGGTGAATTTTTGAGGGTTCAACTCATGGGCTCGACACACTCTGAATTTAAAGAAGCCTTTTCTGTTTTCTCTCATCCAAAGTAGGCTATAGCATGTTCCCTCCTGATCCCTCCACATTCACAGTTGACTTCAAGTCACGATCACAGGCTCACAGCATCACACTGTGCTCTAGTTCGAGCCATTCCAGCATACTTCTATACCCCCTCTTCTCTCTTTCCTTCCTCCTTCCTCCACTGTTCATTCATCATTTAACACAGCATATCTGTGAGTGAACTCCTACCAATATGGGCAGACAGGCTTTAAAACATTAAATAAAGGTATATACTGTATATTCATATGCCTTGTAACTGTGTAACTGTATGTTTTCTTTCTTTAACTATAGGCTGTCAGTCCACTACTCTGGTTGAGAGTGAAATATCTCAACAATTATTGAATGGATAGTCATTCAATTTCTTATACAATTTAACCCCTTATCCACACAGAATGTGTGATAGCTGCCTCGCTGAACAGCTGCAACTCGCATACCTGTGGTGTCCACACACACAGTGCTTCTGCTTTTATGCTGCTGAATTTCTAACTCTCTGGTGAAATTTACATATAGTGCCTCCTTCAGGTGAAATTGTTTGTCCTGTAAGGTTAGGGTTAATAACTTTACCATCAGCTTCAGCTGTAGTTTATGTTTAGTGCTAATAAGCAAATGATAGTATGCTAACATTAAACTAAGATGGTGAACATGAAAAACACTATACAGATGCTTAATGCAATACAGATGTGCTTTTACACACCATTTTCATATACAAAATTCTCAGGTTTTAATAGGCCAATGGATACAGTATGTTGGATTTGATGAACATTGTGCCTTCAAATGTGTTTCATATGTGTTTTTACCTGTAAAATATGTCAACTGGGATGATCATGATGCATTAAGCTTATTAACTTTACATTCATACCATAGATATATCCTCAACCCATTGCACGTCATAATATTCTTTCATTCTGCAATATTGTGCAGCCTCACAGTGACCAAAATTCTACAATATCTTTTGGAGAAGTGGATGGTAGGGTAAAAAAAGAACAACAGGCGCAGAGTGCAGCATGCTACAGCACATTTACTCAACCACCATTACAATCAAAGGTAATCTTCCTCCTTGGCAAAGCATTAAATAGATGATTCATACACGCTCCCCATAAATCTACAACAAAACACCCAGATGCATATGGATTTAATAACACACATAATGCAGAGCGGAGAGGAGGAGAGAGCACTGCGTGGCAAGACAATTACCAATCTCTCACCATAAGCTTGAGAGAGTGTCTTGGCATGAATTATTGAACATCCACAATGGAGAATTACCTCAACAGCCTCAACTCCTGATAAATCTCTCACGATGAGGGGAGGGGGTAAGAGAGAGCTGCATCTGCCCTGTGTGTTGTGAACAGAACCTTGGTATTTCAGGCCTGCTTTCGCCAACATGTGAGCATAAACAGTTTTACACGAGCACAATAGGGGGCACACCAGATTAGCACTGAAACATCATCTTTCCTTTGAAGACAAACCTTCCACGCAAAACAACAGGGGAAAAGCTTTGAAATCAGCTCTGTTCGATCCAACTCTGAAGGACTCTGCAAATCCCCCAAGACACAACAACATGGAAAGGATTAAGTCCTTTTGTTCTTGTATAATAATGGACCCTGGACTGGCTGGGTATACCAGTATAGAAATAAGAACTCACTATCTCCCTATAGGATGACAGCAGACAAGAAGCACTTGGCACAGCTACAGAAAGTGCACATCATATCTCCTGGATGTACAAACTAATGGTGTTTGCAGCTTGGTGTGGAGGGTTTTTGAGAGCTGAAAATTGCTGCTAGCACGCGATAACAGCACTTTGCCCCTCGCCACCGAGCTCTATAAATGATTATCAGGAGAACACTTGTGTATCTTGCCACCGTATGTTTGCATTCGCTGCACTCATGTGTGCCGATTTGTACCAATGCAGGTCCGTGTGTGTTTGTGTGTAGGTGTGTGTGTTGTCATTTGTCTGTCTTATCTTTTATGGCTCTGAGGGAGGCACATGTAGGAGGGTAGAGGTGTAGGGAGAATGTGAGGGAGCAGCTAAAGGTGAAGTACAGCAATAGGAACAACTAAGGCCACCAGTTAGTAAAAAGCATCTAGTCCACATTAATGTCAGGCCTGTATGCTCCATGTCTAAAACAAGATGTCACTACTTCCTGTAACATGGTTTTAATTGGGACTTAATGAAGTGAAATAAAACCGTCTAAATGAGTGCATCAGTGACATAAATAACCATCAAGTAAATGCGACATGTTGAACTCTGGCAGGCAGGCTGTTAAGTATGGAAACATTCACTTCTCCTGCTAATTGAAACACTGTGCCCCTTTTCCAAAAATGGCCAGAGATGAAGCTATTAAAAAATGGCCCAGTCTTCAGAAATGAGACAGCTGCTGGTAAAAGATGTATCAAGGCGGTAATAGTGCCATTAATGATTCAGCGGTCATCAGCATGCCCGGGCGCACTTGTCATTGTTGAAAGACATTTGGGTCTGTGAGGAAAAACGACGGCTGTCCAGGTGACGGACGAAAAGATACATTTCGGGCCTGGGGATAATTACGACGTGTCGGTCAGAGCTGAATGAAGATGAAATAGTGATGAGGCCTTGAAAAGTTTATGCCAAGTCATTCTCAAACACCTAAGCAGCCCTAGTACACTTTCCTAGTGTGTAAATACTTTTCCTGTTTTGTTCATTTGTGTTTTAAATGTACTAAAAAAACAACAGATTAGTTTGTCATTATGACAGAAAAAAGATTTTTTTATAATGATTTCGGTGTGAAAAACCTACCCAATAACTAAAAATAGATCATAGCAAGAACACAAACCTATTTTAAACGATAAGGAATTATTTGGGATGTATTAAATTAGGCATAATGCTATTATAAATGAGAGCAGCTGGCTGGATTTTACTGCTCAGTGTAAACAGCATGACATAATGTCCCTAATATGACAAAAGAACGCCTTTGTTTTATTCTGTAGGGAAAATAACAGCCCAGAGTATTAAGAGATCATTTTCTCAAATAGCATTGTGATTTTTAAAATACTCTCCAGTTATTCAAATAATCAATATCATAGGGGGATTCTTTACCGTTCCTGCACTGCAATCCTCTAGAGTCTGATAAAATACTGCATGAATTAACTAACTTCAAAAACTTCTCTCCACTGCAGCTCCTTCACTCCATCATATAAGACCATGTTAGCCTCCACACTGACCATGGATACATCCTCTGACTTTGAACAAAAAGGATGCAAAAATGATTGTGCAGCCTCTGCTTCAAAATCTGTGTTGTGCCATAATGTGGGTTTATAAGACTCTCATAAGCCAGCTCTTTATTCAGAGAGACTTGGGTAGAAGCCTCAAGCATCTGATTGCTGGATGCAACAACC